TGAACCGCTTTAACTTTCATAAGTAGAAAATGTTGGTCACGTGAAAGGGAACGGCAGTGTCGAGGTGCTGTCATTCTCAGCCTATCCTATGCAGCTGAATGAGCAGGAGACTGTATCATACGCCCCACTCCTGGCCTGCCCAATCTGCCTGTAGAATGGCCCAAGCTACCATTTGTCCCATTCATCCTTCCAGAAACCTGCCTTGGAGCCTCACTGCTCCGATGGCTGGAAAATCTCTAACTCCCAGTCTGAATGTACAAATTTACACATACTTCAATATTCTGCATGGATGACATTACTGAGCGAGAGCTGTCACTTGAACGTGTTAGGGATTAATTATGGGTCTCTGGGCCATGCAATATTAAATGAAGGTCGTGATCCTACAGGCATGCATGTACTTAACCTTAAATCCATGCTTAAACCCGCTGAGAACAGGGAATGTAACAAGACCATCCCTATGTCAAGCACGAGTGAACGGAGATTTACCCTTTGCCACAAATTGCTGCCTGTCATCCAGATAAAGCTGCAATGTTTGCTATGCAGCATGCAACTCCGGGGTTATTTACTTGGTCCTGGTCGTAAACTACAGCATCGATTGCAGTGTCAAGGTTGGGCAGACCAGCGTTTGCTCTTTCTGGTTTCCCTTATCTGTTTGCAGAGCCCACGTAATTCCTTGTGACCACAGTCTCTGAGTGTTGGACCGAGGCCTCGGACTCCTGTCGTGCCTCTCTCCTCACCCCAGCACCCTTGGAGGGCAGAAATTGAAGCCTTGGCCTGGTTTGTGGTAGGCAAGAAAGCAATTTTCTGGGTCATTTGGACATGCAAGGTAGGTACAGGATTCCCATGGGACAGCATGATTTAAGTGAAGCAGAGTGTCTGGGTGACCTAAGGAATTACCACTGGCATATCAGTAGGTAACTAACCTCCAGAGCACCATCTCCTCCATGGCATCCCAGCCAAGCCCAAGCATGGCTTTTGTGCCGCAGCTCTGTTTCATTGGCTAACCCCATCCAACTCCAGACTCGAGACCAAGCTGCGTTCTCTCTCTCTTGCAATACCCCTCCTAGAAGTTGCTTCTACTCTATGCAGATTGTTATTATGCCTAAGCAAAATACTGTCTTTACAAAGCTGAACGTCTCCCTGCATGATGGGGAAGGGGCTGGGGGAGCTTTCAGACAGCCATTCCTCAAAATATCATTGGGAGAAAAAAGGGGGAAGTGAATGTTTTATCGATGGTAATGACCATTACCGTGTTACAGGATACGTTTGAGATCGAGATGGGTCTGTCGTCCTGGGTCTGATCCTCAGCCTTTCTGCAATGAGAAACCATGCTGACATCAATAGGGAATCAGGCTGCCAAGGGACTGGTTCCAAGATAAATCTCCCATTGTATCGAGTTCCCTCATGTTCAGACTATCTCATTATCACAGTGATAATTGTGATAGTCCCTCATTCCCAACTAGGAGGCAGGCTGTTCACTCTCTGATACTCGTGCTTGTCATGCGCTTATCTAGAAAAGCTCAAATGAAAAAAAAAAAAGGGGGATTTTTTTTCCGAAGACATGCAAACAATCCGAAGAGGTTGAACGACTCTTTTGGCAGCTGTGTCCCCCTCTGACGCAGCTTTGCTCTCAAGGCTCTTTCAGATGCGATCAGATGGGTGGAACAGCCTGAACCCCCACAGTATTTGCAGTCATTGGGAAAGGTGCTGAACCCGCTGCCCCGCTGGTGTGAAGCCTTCATTGGTCCCGCGGAGGGGCCGATCCGACAGCCCCGCTCCTACAAACAGCGGGCTGAGACGGGCAGAGCCATTGGGACGTGCGGGGTTCCGGCTGTGCACAGGGGAGCCTTAGCTGAGAGAATAAGCAAGTTTTGATAGTCAGAGTGTTTGGTATGAATTAGCAGACCAGGGTGAGCAGTCTGATGAGGTCATTAATACTTTGGTGTTGGGTAAGGTAAATATGGAATCACCAAAACATCTTGGTGAAGACCTCAGAAAGACTTGGCAGGCGATTTTTGGCTAGAGGTCTTGCCACAGGTTGTCCCTTATGAGTGAAGAAACTGCGCTGGCCGGAGCTGTGGCTCACAGCTGCCCTCCAAGGAAAGCAGCAAGGGATGGTGATACTTCACTAGTTGGTGTAGATGGGAAGAATTATGTCATGGGGCCAGTTTGGGTGAGGGATGACAGACCTCTGTGTGCTGAAAAGAGAATTGGCAGAATGCAATTATAGCCTGGTTGTGTTCTGTCCTGATTCAATCAGAAGCCTAAGTGGCACTGGATCAGCGTTACAGTTTTGGTCAGACTGGGGTCTAGCAGGACAGTAAGATGTTTTACATCTTTAGTGCAAAAGAAAATATCTGTGGTGTTTTAAGCTTGCTGAGGGACAACCATGGTGTAACTGGGTCTTGTGACACTGCTGCTTCTGTAACAAAGACGGGATCTTAGATGAAGATGTATCAAAAATCTTAAGGAGTTAAAGCCTGGCGTGAATTGCAGCACACAGTACGTCCTCAAAAGCTGTGGATTACTGCTGTACCCAGCAGTTCTACACTGTTTTAGCAAGCGTGTAAGTCATGGATCTCAAGAGCTGTCGCTGCCTTGCTTTGGAGGAGAAAGTACAGCAGGTAGCTCTGGAGCTGGGAGAAACTGCAGGGATATCAGGGAGGAAACCAGCCACGGAGGATGTGGCCAGGAATACGCAAGAGGAGAAGGTATTTTCTCCTTGGGACCTGGACGAGAGCGTGGAAATAGAAATTGGGCTCCAAATAGTTAAGAGGAAAGAGGGAGGAAGGAGTGGGAGCTTAGACAGCCCTGAAAGTACCAGCAGCATGATGGTGGGTGCAAAAGAATGGGAGGGAGACTGCAGCAGGTGAGGAAGTTCTCATTAAGGAGAACTTAATGAGACAATAAAAGCCTCTGTGAAACCTAGCAGTCTCCATGCCTTTCCTCTGGTGAAACTTTCCTGGTGAGTAGAATTTTTATGTGCCACTCTTGGAAATGGACTTGTTAGATAGGATCAAGCAAAAGACAGCGCACGGAGGTCTGACAAGCAGAACCTCTTCCAGAGCTTGCTGAAATCAGGCAGGAAACAATACAGCAAATTGGAGGACCGGTGTTGGTAAAAAGTTTCTCTGTGAAGGAGAGATGTCGGTAATAGTGTCGGTAAGTGGTGCAGGCCAAGCCTTACCTGGGTCTCCCCCACCTTTCCTGGTGCAGCAGCTGGGTGAGGGTCCCACCCACAACTGGAGTTAACTTGCTATTGCTGATCCAGGGTCGGTTCTGACAGGCACCACACTGGGAAGGGAACAGGGTGCTCTATGCTGGTTGCGCTTTGGTCCTTCCCTGCAGCTCTCCCAGCTTCTGCTTAGCTGTACAGGGCAGGGTTGGTACCACCCTTTGGTTCTTTACACCCCCCAGCCTACCTCTGTGCAGCTGTGTATGCAAAGCACAGGATCTTTTCTCCTGTACTGAATTCTGCTTCAATTTGCAAACGCGCTCTGTAGTGACCTGTGACTAACTCAAGCCATTCCCGTATGTTCTTTAAATGCCTGTACAGGGCATGATGCATGCATGCATGCTCTCTCTGTTTGTAGATGAGCTACAGCTTAGTGCAGTAAATAGCAAGTCACGCTAGGACCCGGTAGGTAGGATGGAGAGGAACAGTGTGTTTGGCATTAACTGTAGCTGTTCAAATTCCCTGAAATGACATGACTTCACTGTCCAGTTCAACCGCTTTTGTCTAAAGGCGACTGGAAGGGCAAACCACATCTGTAAACAGAAGGTGATGGATGTTAACTGGATGATACACAGACTTTGCAAGACAGAACTGCACACAAACACGGCAAAGCAAAGAGAATCTGCGAACAAAGCAAAAGGCGCTACTGCCGGTTCTTGTTTCAGGGCAATGTTTGTTCAAACCCTTGCCCTCTCATCCAGCTTGAGACGTTTGTCTGTGCAGTGACCTGTTAAACGCTGGGTATTCCAACAAGCCTCTCTTGTCTCTTTGTTTGAAGGCTGGTTGGAGATATCCCCGTGCTGTAGCTGATGTGGCAGATCTTTTAGTCATTGCAGACTGACCCGGAACTGAGAGTGTGGTTGGAAACAGGAAAACAAACCGAACCCAGGAGTCTTTCAGTCAAAGCTTCATGACTCGGGAAGAACAGGACTGTAATAAAATGAGTCGGTGCCTGTTTCCTCCAGACAGCCAAGCCACGGCCAGGCAGTAATATTTGATAAAACAATAACAAAGTGCTCTCTACTTGCATAGCCCTTCACATAGATAAGATGTGTTCTCTGCTCCGGGGCTTTTTTTAAGGCACTTTGGTTCCCAGATGTGGGGAATGATATTTTCCAGATCGCTTCCAAGAAATGATAAAATTATTCCTCCTTCCCTTCATTCAGAAATGTATTTATAGCTATTTTGAATTCTGCCTCCCTAGCTGGGTAATGTCCAAGCCAGCATCTCCTGGAAATTGCATACAGTCTCTCCCAAGGCAGTAAAGCTGAAGGCAGGGGAGGGAGGTGGTGGCCTTGAGGCTGCGTTTAGTGTGGAGGTACCTGTGTGCTGCAGAACCTCCCAGCAGGCTCAGAGGGGCTGTGTAGGGTGGAGGATGCTTTTGGGATGCCTCACAGGACCAACCGCTGGGAGAGACCAAACTTATTCACAGGGCTCCGTTAGGATCAAATCAAAAGACTTCTTTGGTGTACTATGTCTGATAATTCTCGCTGTCAGGTGGTTTGGTAGGTTAGTTTTAACATCCACCTTTTTAAAAAAAAAAAAAAACACAATCCAAAACAAAAGAAAAAAGCTGGCTGAGCACTGATGGACGGAGCTCAGGAGATTAGATGACAGCAGCATTTGTCTTCTCTCAGGTGATGGATGCAGGCTGTCGTCCCACCACGCGCTGGATGAGCAGTGCCCTTCACCTTGGCTGGACTAGGTGTGGGGTTGTTTTTTTTTTTTTTTGCACATCGCTGCTTGCCAGGCTTGCATCTGGATTAAGAAGAACAAATCTCTGTGAGCCAATATATTCACACCCAGCAGTTTTTTCAGAATTCCTTAGATGACTGCTAATTGAATCATTGTAAATGAAATAAAATCCGGGTGCTCATTTTGCAGCAACTATTTGTTAAACTCTTAGTATTTGGATAGCATATTGTAAAATTAACAAATCCCTCCCCCTTGGGAGCTGAGATTTAAACTTACATTCCTCTGACCAGGAAAACAGAGGCAGGAAAGAAATTGATTTGGTCTAAGAAAACAAAGGCAGCAGCCTTGTACAAAGGATCAGAATACAGAATCTTTTAGTTCCTGGTCCTGCGGTTTGCTTAAGCGATGTCAGGAATTTGGGGCAGCACGAATCAAATGGTCAGCAAATTCTGGGTGCCCTAGGGTATTGAAAAATGCTTCTGGGGAAGGCTGCTAATTGCATCATGGGTCAGTGCTTCACCATGTGTTGTTTCTAGCTGTTCTGCCTTAAACTGCTCTGCCATACCAGCCTGTAGTGAAATCCTGCGATGAACGCTGATGCTAAGAGAGAAATCTCTGCTGCTCTTCGAAGAGGCTAACAAAAAGCTCAAAACTCTTTTCCCCTTTGTTCTAAAAGCCTCAAAACAAAACAAAACAAAGATCCTACTAGGGACAACAACCCTGAACCAAATGTCAAAGCACCAGCCTGTAAGCAGAAAAATACAGACTGAGCACAGAGGCGGTAGGAGAGGTCTATTCTACACTTAAGTGTAATTTGGAAGAGACTCGAGGAAAGGCAAAGGATCATTGCTGCATCTCCGTGAGGCTACAAACAGGCTCAAGGCCTCTCTGCTCACATATTTCAAACAGATGTCTTTGCTTTGTGCAAGCATTGCAAGTGGAGTGCTCTACATCCGGCAGCTGCTCAGTGGCTCCAGGTTAAATCGCTCTCCTTCCCCAGCTCCGGGTCTGCCGAAAGAGCTGGGGGGAAAAAAAGGAGACAATTGATGGAGTGTTGGGATGCAAGAAGCAATAAACCAACGTTGTGAAATACAGGGAAACGCTGGCGTGTGGATATTTGGAATGGAAAATACAGCTCATAATGGCAGAAACTGCAGTTTCAAAATATGAATCTAAATGTCGTCCTTTTGCAGGCACGTTTGGTGAGCACTCCTGGCAGCTGTGGCTGTTTATCCTCTTTCACGGTAAGGCCAGCACAGACACAAGTATCTGCTGGGGGGGCTCGAGGTCTTGCTCCAATGCAGCCTGCAGTCCAGGAATAACTAAGTTTAATTTCTGTCTGTGAGAAAAGCTGCAGCAGAAACTGCCAGATTTGCACCTTTATGCTAAATGCTGAAATTCCGATCCATAAAATGCCGTTGATCTTGGGCATGCTGAAAAGCGTAAGTTAAATCAGCTTCTAGCTCCCCTGTTAGTGGGAAAACATGGTGCTTGTTTATTTACTTAGAGGGGTGGCCCTGGCAAGAGCTTCGTCCTCCTCGGTCTGTGCAGGATGACCATAACTGTGTCAAAGCAGTAAAAGGACATACATTTTGTCAGCTGCGCTGTCCTGTCATGAAGCTGGGCTTTAAAGAAGGTGACTAAAATCAGCATCTTGCTGCAGATGTCAAATTCATCTTCAGGCATAGGTTAAACTGGATATTGTCAGGAAGGCTGAGAGTATAAGGGAACTGAGAGACCACTAATAGTTTTATTTATTTGTTTTCCAGAAAAGCTTCCTTCTTTACGAACACTGCTTGGTCTGACGGCAAAGGCCAGTGCTCGATGGGGATGGCGAGGACCCACTGCTGCGGTAGCGGTGCCCACAGCAGCGCAGCGGTTGGCCATCCCTCTGACAAGAGATGCAGGTGTGGGAGCTCCCAAACCTGGCACTGTGCGGACAGCCATGCTCTCTGGCCTTTACACCGGAGCTCTCACAACCCTGATGGTGGAGGCCATCACCCACCCATCGCGCTCTTCTCTTTTTTTTTTTTTTTTTTTTTTTTTTTTTTGGG